TGTGTGTGTGTGTGTGCATGTTTGGTCTGATGTCTATTTTGGTCGGTTCAGTGTCAACAATCGAAATAATCGCCCGTACATGATAATGTCATGCAAAGAATGGACAAAAGAGGACCGCTATTCAAATGATTGTACATTGAGCAGAAGCAGCAGCAGCAGCAGCTCATGTGCACTTTTGCTGCGCGACCACGACCTTACCTTACCAATGAAACCGCAAACATAATTCGCTGCAATTAATTATTTTGGAACGCTGGTGGAACAATGTACTCACTCCCGCGCTCTACCGTTTTCTTTTGACGCGATACCCCTTACTCCTCACTCTTTCTCTGCCTATATATAGCCTTTGTTTGCACAGGAAGCTACTATTTTAAGAGTTAGTCCACTGTCTGAGCTACTGCTCGTGAATCCAATTTAATATAAGAAATTATAAAGATATAGCCACGCTAAAAATATCTCACTATTTTTCACATTATCTCTTTTTCATACTTTATCTGCCCGCAGTAGAATATTCGATGCGGCACAGAGTACTCTGAAAGTAGTAAATAGTTCGACAATTGGCAATGTATTTTCTTTCTTCTTCTCTTTTTCTCTTCACTAACCGTCCATCAAATGAGCCGCGTGCCGGAGAGTCAATCAAACATCGAAAAGACGTTGTTTGCTCTTCTTTGAAAGGAAACTCTCTCGCTCCACTGTTTGCTCAACTAGTGGTCGCGATAGTAGTAAACCGAATGCTTTGCATTCAGTGAATCAACCAACTGATGACCAAAGTGTGTCCCTGGACAGTACACTTTTGCTTATTGCTGTCTGACTTTATCTTTATTATTATTATTAGTATTAATTCGGCACGTAATTACGAGTTAATCGGCTTCTTAATCAAACTGTAGTTTATTGCAACAGGGGTCTCTTTCTTTACGGTCAACCAGTCAACCAGTCAGTCAGTCAGTCGTCACCATCGTCTGCCGAAACAAGTTTGACCTTTGTAAGTCAAATACCAAATGTGATAAGATTTCCATTTTGACAAGTTGAGTCAGTGTTTGCTTAGCAAGTAAGTGGCAGCAAGTTGCATTTCTTTCAACTCACTAATTGCTGTTTGCACTGTTGTGTGCCCTGCCAACACAAGTCCGGAATCAAGAATGAAGGCCCGTGCTCGGTGTGTGCCAGCAGTGTGCCAGTGTTGACCTCAACACAGATAATGCTCTCTAACCAACAGTTTCCTCTTCTCTGTGGCTTTCTTTCACGCTCACTTTTGGGCAGCACATTCTTATTTTCCTCTTTTTCGTTTGTTGGCTTTTCCTAGTCCAGAATTTAAACTTTGACCGGCCTGGTCGTACAGCACTGCGGATGAGCGCCATTGCCACCTGAGAACGCAAATGGACGCGTGTCGTCTCTATTCAGTGTGATCTATCCGATTAGGGCAATTGTCTTAGGAGAAATAAAACAACATCAGAGAAAGAGAGCACACAAACAGAGATACACTGATCTTGATATCAGTGTAAAGGAGAGCACTCTTAGCTTATCGTTCCATATGTGCCTAGCTGACGTTTGTCGGGTGGTCGTGCCAAATGGTGAAAGAGGAGCAAGTGCTTTGTCGGTTATTGTGCCCGTCGCAGTGGTCGTCTGCGTCTTTTTTGGTAGAAAGGCTCCGTCAGTCCGATTACCATCGACCGCGGCCACTCAGAGGGACCTTGATGATTATCTGCTGTCTGCTGGTTAATGTGTGCTTCATATCGAATTGGCCATTACTCACACCGATTAGCCGTTGACTGGCCGCCCGTTTTCAGCGCAGCTTGCTCTGCAGTCACGAATTGCACCGCTAACTGCCGTCTCAGCTTGAATAGCACACACACACACACACACACTTTTTGGTGCCTATTCGGCAGTCTTCATTTAGACTTTCTTAATATCTCTCCTTCTTATTCTTTCCCGGCCATCGTATCGATTCATTGCTTACCTTTGAACTTTGGCATTTTCACAAATGCCGCTTATCACTGGTTATACGCAGCATTAAGTTAATTGACGATGAATTCCAAACAGTCTGTTTGCAACTTAATTTAAAGAAAACAACACCTTTCCAATTTGTTGTTAAGGCTAACATTAGTAAACTATTTGACTGTTTCTTATCAGTGAATCGGACTTGCCATTAATCTTCATGTGCTTGCAATTCCATTAGAAGTTATCTATTGTTTGTGTCACACAGCTTTATTTGGCTCTGTTGCTTTGTTTTTTCCAAATGGTCAACAGTGAACACTTTCACATGTTTTCAGGCTTACTTTGACGAGTGGTACCATTGTCATTGGCTCAATAAAGCATTGAACAATATGTTGTCACTTCTTGGACCACAGAGAAATTTGTCTCCTAGTCGCCAGGCGACTGGATCGAGTCAGGTGTGTAGCAACCTGTCGATCGCATTCTTCAATTGCAAAGGTCGTCAGAAACGTTTATTCAAACGGAAGCGTGCCTTCATGTGTGCATTGGCAAGTGAATGCGTCCACTGTGGTCGATGCACATACACACACACACACTGAGTGAGGTTTACTATTTTAGGTAATGTGTTGCCGTCGTAAACGTAGTTTCCACAGTCGGCGATTGCTATCTAAACAAGGCATAAGGACACAGGAAGATGGCAGCCGCTTGTGTGTGTATGTGCAAGAGAGTTAGAGAGTTAGGCCGTCCACTAGGTGTAGTGCCATTTGCCGCAGATGCTGCACTCCTGCTGCATGCCTGCCTGCCAGTAATTAGTGCCACCGGACGGCCACATGACATTTGGAAGGTCCGTTTGGAGCACTTCGCCTGCACCAGGGCCCATCTCTCTTGGCGGACTGGTCATTTTGATGGTGAAATAGGCAATGACCCATTTTGGGCGCCATCAACGGCCTAGCTGGGTCCGTTATGGGCCCATAAGCGGGCAATGTGCACTTGCAGCAAAGACTCTGCCTGATGGTGGAAGCAGTGCTGGCCCCCGATGCAATCTGTGCAGTGCTAGCTAGCCCTCTCCACTTGACAGGTGAACTAGTTTTATTAAGACAGAAACGGAATCTTCTTCAGTGAAGTTTGTCTGTCTCTCGGAGCAAGTGTAGCTGTGTGTGTGTGTGCTGGGCAGACCAACGCTGAAGACTGTGTGCTCAGCGCACGAATCAGTGCACCTCGGATGTATCGATGCTAAGATAGGCGGGATGAGTGAAGTTCAGTCTGCAGCGAAGGGGAATTGCCTTGAGAAATGCCTCGCACGTCGAACACACACAAACACACACAGTCAACAGAGTGAGGCAGACAGACAAGCACAGAGAGTGCACATCTTCCCCTGCTGCTGTTGCTTCTCTTCGTCGCTAGTCGGTGGAGCGCGCGTTTGAGCAAAGAGAAGACAGCGCCAGCGAAAAGACTCGTGTAAGCTTGGCCTCTATCTGCTTGGCAGCAGTGTGTGCTAATCCACGAAGAGCATCTCCTGTGGACGGCTCTCTTTCATTCATTTCATTTGCCTGATGACTAGCGACGGTGCCACTACAGCTGCGGTGAGCTCCACTGCCTCTCCTCGGTTCAAAGTTGAGCCCGCGAAGTGGCCGTACATCAGACCCACCGTAAAAACTACCATTGCACAGTGTCTCATTTTGCAGTGAGCTACCATGCTCCCGGCCCCTTGACGCCCACACAGCCCACACACTCTGCTCGTCTTCTGTTCGTTCCATTTTGCCTCACAGTGCGTCTTCTTCTTCTTCTTCTTTATCTGCAAGTGCGGTGGCCAACCGACCGTCTGACAGNACACACTCTGCTCGTCTTCTGTTCGTTCCATTTCGCCTCACAGTGCGTCTTCTTCTTCTTCTTCTTCTTTATCTGCAAGTGCGGTGGCCAACCGACCGTCTGACAGTCCACCATGCCTCAGTGTCTCTCGCCGCAGTTCGAGTCTAAGAGCCCCGCTATCGTGGAACTGCTAAGCGACGCAGTTGACAAGTGCACATCAGTCTCGGACCGGTGTTCGGTGGACAGATTTACCGAGTACGATGTTCCCTGTGGACTCTTCAGCAAGCTAGACTACGAGTCAGGTCGTCTTCTCTCGGTGAACAAGCAGCCTCTGCTCGAGGGATGCGAGCAGCCGCAGCGAAAGAGTGAACTAGACGACTTTGTCTATCTGGAATTTTTCGTCGACACCATCAAGCCTGAGTACGCCTCATTGAATGCGACCAATGTCACCACTACGTTCACTAATTGCGTAAACAATTTCAAGCTAACAAATGGTATGACACTCAAGTTTTATCACCTCATTCGCTGCAGCAGCAGCACACTGAAAATTGCCTCAATCGCTTTCTTTCTTTTATGGTTTTAAATTAATTTTAGCTATACGTTCCTAGCGTTATTATATTATATGCACATTTGCTTACTTACCAGTTCAGTATTTACAGACACGTACTTGTATTTTTCAGCGTTGTTTGAGCTTTCAGTTTGCCTTAACCAAAACCAACTGCAACAACAAGTAACTTTGCCAAAAGGAGAGTGAGGGAAAGAACGCAAAGCAGAGCAGCCGGGAAATTAGCCACTCGTTCAATGTTAGCGCGCCTGTGAGAACAAGAACTTAACTTGCTGGCAAATCTACTGTTCAAGTGAGTTGTTGATTGGCAATTGTCGTTCGATTATTGCTTTTCACCAATGCTCAAAATTATATCTCTACTTAATCGATCAGATATTGATGGGCTGATGCTATTCAGTCAACAGCTTTCACTGGTTGCACTGACACAAACTTGCCTGCTTTGCCTTACTGTGGCGAGTAACTTGTCTTTCAGATGCAATCTTCTTCTTTTTCTTCTTCTACTTTTCCAAACGACACTCGGTGGGCTTTCTATCTTTGACTCGGTGTCATTAGTAGAGCCATTGTCGGGAGCTGACACAATCACTGCGGTTTGTTTCACCAAACTTTGGGTGCTGCAGCACAGTAAATCAAACTCGATCTTGGTGTTTCGCTGCAAGTTTGTCGATGCAAATAGTTAACGCATTTGACGTCGTTGAATATGTCACACGGCGGGAAAAGTGCAATTTACTTTAGAACTTTGCAACTTATTGTGGTGGTAAAAGTCGAACCTATGTCTATTTGTTCGTCTGTCGATTCGGTTCCTGGTCGTCAGAAGGCAATTGCCTCTTCTTGGCGCGTAGGTTCGCAGTACCGCGCCGCAGTACAGTACAGCAGTATTGTTGCAAAGTTTTAACGTAAATGGCGGTAAAAGGCGGTAAATAAAGTGACTTTTGGCTGCCACAAATAGCGCCCGTTCTCGGCGACGACTTGGCCGCTGCTGCTGCTCTCAGTCACCGAGTGATCCACTCATCACTCATTCCATCTTTCCTAACGAGTGGCTTTTCCAGTGCAACCAAACACCTAACTACCACTGCCAGCAGCGTAATTAGAATTAGTCGTTCAGACTTGCTAAACTATCTCTCTGCTTTTGAATGTAAACTCTGGACGGATGTGCTTGCTCTTATGTCAGAGAGATGTTTCCGGTCGTGGACATTGTCATGACATTAAAAAACAGTGAAACCGGAGCTTGTTTTGAGTTAATTTGAGGTACTATGACATTCTTAACTGATACAACTCTCTCTTTATTCCTCTCTTAATCTTCACAGAAAGCCCAATTGCTGGTCAGGTAGAAGGTTCCGAGAAAAACTCCTCATCCAATGCTATGTACTCGAATGCACCTACTCAGGGACAACAACAGCAGCAGCAGCTTCCACCGCCCACTTCACTAGCGACTAGCTCTGAGCAGCAACAGTCCCACTTGCTGAACAGCTTCCGAGTGCTGAACCCGAGCTCGAGCAGCAGTGCCCTGAGCATTCCCTCCATCGTCTCCTCCTCGAGCCTCAGCGGCAGTCAGCAGGGCGAGGCACTGCAAAGCCACCAGTCATGGTCCACCGACAAGGGCGTTCCCTCCTACCCGCCAATGCTCTCCTCTCTCAGCCACCAGCGAGGTCACCTGCCCGCGTCTATGTCCTCCGGTCTGGGCCCCCTGAACAGCGCCCCTTCTCTCTCAGGTCTGCATCATCACTCTCATCACCATGTCTACCACCATCATCATCACTCTCAGCCGGTGCACACGCCCATTGCGCCCACCTCGACCTCACTCGGCGTCGGCCACCAGCCGGGGCTCCCATCCACCAGCAGCTCTCACCTGGCAAGTGGCGACACCTCGCAAGGCCTCTCCTCGCTGTGTCCCTCCATGGCCACCTCTGACTTTCTGGGCACTGAGTCGGGACACGACATTGGCGGCTACTCATCGGCGGAGGCGCTTTTCAACAGCCAATTTTCTGACTCCTTTACCAAGCAATCTCCCCTCTACTCCTCACAGACCTGTTCAGGGGCTGATGTAAGCGGCAGTGTCAGTGGTGGCGGAGGTGGCGGCGGCGGCGGTCCTGCTGGCACCGATGTCAGTCCTGTTGGCAGTGGTGCCAATCTGCTCAGCGGAAACAATCTCTCCTTGAATGGGTCTCACTCTCACTCCTACGTGACCGCCCCCAGTCTCATCGGCAGTTCGGCAATCGGGGAGGACCTCTTCAGTCGCATCAACAATCCGAGCACTTTTCAGTGTACCAACTTTCAAGCTCCCCACAAGTACCAATGGCCTTACTACACCTCCTCTGCACCCTCCCCACTAGAGTACACTAACCTCGGCAGTCAGCTCGCCTTTAAGCATGAGTCTCTGTGCCAAAGTGAAGCCTACAGCGTAAACATCTCGGAGTCTATCAAGCCCGAGCCCGGTGAAGGCGCTCTCTCGCCCACGAACATTGGCGGCAGTCTGGTGGAGGCAGGCCGCAGCGGTGGTGGCCCTCTCACTGCCAACGAGAACAGCGGCAGCGGCGGTGCAGCCAGCGGTAATGACGGTAATGAGGGAAGCAACCCCGGTGCCACCGGTGGCGCCTACCAGTCCGCCGCCGACCACCAGGCGACGCTGGCCGAGTACAACCAGGCCACCAGTAAAGGTCACGAGATACTGAGCCAGGCGTACCAGAACAGTCCAATTCCCATTAAGCTGCTGCCCGTCAAGTCGCGCAAGTACCCGAATCGACCTTCAAAGACGCCCGTTCACGAGCGCCCGTACGCCTGTCCGATTGAGTCCTGCGACAGACGCTTCTCGCGCAGTGACGAGCTAACCCGCCACATTCGAATTCACACCGGACAGAAGCCGTTTCAGTGTCGCATCTGCATGCGCTCCTTCTCCCGTTCAGACCACCTTACCACCCACGTCCGTACGCACACTGGCGAGAAGCCCTTTGCTTGTGATTTGTGCAACAGAAAGTAAGTATTCGCTCTGAAGCGCTTTATATTACCTCAGTGTCACACTAGTTTTGTTTAGTTGTTGCTTGATGCTTGCACTACTAAAGAGAAAACCAATTTGTTTGTTTGCTTGTTTATTTGCTTTAGGTTTGCCCGATCTGATGAAAAGAAACGCCACGCCAAAGTGCACATGAAGCAGAAGATCAAGCGTGAGCGCACCTCAGGCCGTAGTGATTCAGTAGTGCCCAGTTCTCGAGCCGCCTACTCCTCTGCTTCTCAGCACCGTCAGCACTCGTCCTCCTCGACGACCCAAGCTAGTCTCTGTTCCCTTTCCTCCTTACCTCCGCATCCTTCTCAAGTGCAACAAGCATCCGCCGGGCCGCCTTCCTACACTGGCTCCATTCACTGAGGCTCAGGGCGGTTTCGGGCAGCCGACGGCGGTGAGAAGGGAGGGTGCCATCGGTCGGCGTCTGCAGCCTCTCAGTCTTCTGTAGTACTTCTGTAGTATGCAGTTGAAATAGCCAGTTATGGCAATGCTCGTAGGATGATCACCACTTCTCCACTTGGCTGCAGTGTGTCCCATTAAGAAGTCGCAAATTACCACTTACCTCCTAGGACAATGTTAGATAGGCATATATCTCGTCGGTATATATTTAGCATGCAAACAGTGCTGCTGACGCAATGAATTGGGCAAAGGTGACACCGGCCACCAGTGCACCAGTGCTCCTCCAAAGTGCGACTGTCTGCAGCCGGCGACGGCAGTGGTGGTGGTGGTGGTGGTGAGCCTGTTGACGCGTTTGCCTCTCCTTGCAAGTCAACAGTCGCAAATGGACTCACGAATATGCTTACTTCACCAGCGATCGCCTTTTCCGCCGAGATGGAAACAGCCTTTTCCTTATCCCCCTTTACTACCTTCCCTACCTGGCCTACAGACGACAATTAGTTCTCGTGCTACTGACTAGTGACTCCCGTTTTCAGTGCACCACTCATCTGCTCTACTTAACTCAATTTGACTACAGGCAATTCCGCAATCACTCTCACTTTTTCACATTTTCAATTTCATTTTGTCTAACTGACATTGAGAACAAATACATTCCTGCAACTACTCAGCACACCTCCTCGAATGTTGTCACCTTATCCATTTCATTCTCGTCACATCCTTCCTCTTTTATCCTTTTTACCCATCATTCTGCTACCATTTTTCCTCTCCTCCTTTTCCTTCTCTCCTTTTTGATCCTTCTTATAACCCTTCCCGCATGAAACCTAAACCTAACCTGTTCACTGCTCCCACGCACAGCCGCTGCTTTTCAATTGCTACTGATCGCCTCGATTACCATGAGGCGATCACTGCCATTTCGACTTTCATTTATTCTACCCAGTCATCGAAAGCATCTCTCTGCATCTCCCTTGGACTCCTCTCAACCCTTTTCATTATCCCTTTTCTGTGCCCTGAACTAACCCTCTGCTGGTCCACACTATCTTGTTCTCCTACTCTTCCCTTCTCCCACTCGCTTTCTTTCTCACGTTTACTTTCCTCTACTCATTTTTTCATTTTTTCAAGTCTCCAAAGGCTTCTCTACTCCCACACTTGTTCACTCACTGACATTATCTTGAATTCTGATTCTCTTCAGAGCCTACGAATCTCTTGCTTTCCTCCTCCTTGCCCTCATCGTTCTTCTCATATGTTTTTTGTGCAATCTGAAACACACTCAAACACACACACACACATACACATACACACCGGCCATACAGCGACACATTTCTCAACTTGGAACAACTTGGCCACTTTTCTTTTATATTTTTCAAATTAAACAAATGTTAATATATTTTATTTATTCTATTGGTCAATTTGTAATAATTCTATATTCTTATTATTATAATTGTCAAATTTAATCAATTATTATAAATTAATAAAATTACAAGTTATGTTTCACATTACACCTTGCTCTGCAAGCAAACAAAAAAGTAAAAAATTTTAAAATTTGTTGATTTTTTTCAACATTTTTTTCAAAAAAAATAAACTTTGAAAAATATGAGATTTGAAAAAACGGCGCTTGAAGCGCCGTTNCAAGTTATGTTTCACATTACACCTTGCTCTGCAAGCAAACAAAAAAGTAAAAAATTTTAAAATTTGTTGATTTTTTTCAACATNCAAACACAGCTCTTTTCGGAAACACGCCAGCAAGCTGATCTTCTGTCGGCATTTTGTACAGATTCAAAGATGAATGAATGTATCTCGTGGTAAAGTCAAGGAGCAAGTAAAGATTTAGCTGCATCTGGAGCGAGTGTGTTGTGCTGCCAAAACTGGCGCCCGACGCAATTTACCGTCTAATCTCTAATCGGCCTGGCAAACCGTCGAACTGGTTGGAGTGCACTGCTTCCGAATGCGAACTAATTTTGCGCTTATAAAGTCACTGCAATCGCTGCAATGCTCGCTGACTGCGCTTATTTTTAGCACTTGTCACATTGATATAAAACGTAACGATTATTAATATGCGTTCATCATCGGACAAAGAGAGGCAGCTCTAGAGACGTCTCTATTCCAGCGGACGGGCGGTGACAATTCGGGAAGGCAATTTCTGGCCGGCTGCACTGCACACCAGCTCTCACTGCCGCCAGTGTTTACTGCCGCTGCTGCCGTGCAGAAGCTGGTGCCACCACCAGTACTGCCAATCTCTCTTCCGGCGTGTCCTCCTTCGGGGAAGCTCACATGCTTTACTTAGTCCTCATTGACTTCATTTTTGTTTTTCTTTTCATTCGCAGGCGTTTGCAACACCACAGCAACAATTTTTGCTAGGTGCAAAGCAACAGACTGTAAATAAAGGAGGACAGTCGTGCGCTAAAGCCTCGTCAGGAGATCGTCATTTTCAAATGAATCAAAATGCACCTTTAAAAAGTTACTAATAAAAACTATATTTTCATTTCAGAATATCTTGGTGTGTCGTAAAGAGCAATCGGCCGTACAGTCAATGTTTTGTGTACGGCACAAAAATGGCAGTTTGAGACAGTTGCACAGAGTGACACACTGAGTTTGTACCGTAAAGTCGAGGTGTGACGAATATCGACCAAGGAGCTTAAAATAGAAACGC